CAGTTACTTTTGATCAATTTCATGCATCCATGCTGAATAAATGTAGCAATTAAAAAAAAAAAAAAATAACGGTATATAAACAATTAAAAAGCATACAATTAAAAAAATATATATTTTGACTTAAATGAAAATTAACTTACATGTTACCACACAAAGTTGCCATATTCGATTTGAAAGGTGCTCTTGAGGTCAGGTGGATATGAAGATAAGTAATGACTTACTGTACATTAAGTTCATCCATAGCAATTATATGGCCTTAGAAAGTTGGGATATAGCGCACAAATCAAATGGATTAATTTGAACGTGTTTTGGTCAATTTTGGATAAGACAGATGTTGTAATTATAAACTCTCATTGTATTTAATTTAACAAATTTTCTCATTTCGTGTCCCACTACAAAAACCAACAGCAAAGCGGTTTGGAGCAACATGAGTGTGTGCAAATGATTACAGAGCTTTCATTTCCTTTAATGGCCTTTCCTTCTGGATGAATGATCAAAAATGTGCCTCTTATGTCAGAACATGCTATCTCTGTGAACTCTCATGCCAAAACCTTTCATCAAACAGGCAGAATGCAAAACAGACGGAGAATCTTCCATAATGCTGTTGCTTGAAGAGTTCAAGGAAGATCAGTCTGTTCCAGTCTAGTTCAGATATTGCTCACTTGGTAGTCACAGTTTTCTGCCTTCTCTGAGCTTTTTGTGCATTTCTGACTTATTCAGATGTTGGAAATTTGTGGTTGGGAATACAGAATACATATGAGGGACAGAATTTGAGGAGACTTTAGACAAGCTCTTGACTCATCATATTCGTATTAATATGCCAGCTCACCCACTAAAATCCCTGGTTTGATTACAGGCTGGTCTTATTGAGATGAACCCTCATGCTCTTTGCCTATCCAAGTACCTTTGTAGATATAGAAAAAACTAAGTGGAAATTATTTGAAACGGATTTAGTTCCTGCTATAATAACATGCTTTACATGACCAGAAATAACCACAGCTCGTTGTTACTATTAAATACCACGCACTTCATTTAATGGCAGCGGTGATGAGGCCCCATTGACTTAAGGTACGCCTCATTAAACACTGCCAGCTCTTTTCACTTAAGGCAATCCTCGGGCAACCATCGAAAGACATACACTTTCACATATACTTATAGCACTGTCTGTCTGAATACTTGATTCTTACTGGCTGGAATCCTTGAATGTACAGGTAGTTCCAGTCAGTGAACACACAGAAACATGAAGCATCACTACATCTTGTAGAAAGTGATGAGATGAGGTGAGAGACAAGTGCAGATCAACAAAATTAGTGCTAATGAACTGCTAAATTCCAGGTTATTATAGCGCTGCATGTGTTTTTCAACAAAGTAGCTGGTTTCTCTAAGCAAGATATTAGTTAGTCCAAGCTGGTCAAGAAAATATCAGCTACCAACTAACTTATAGTTTGACAGTTTCTGCAGTTTTTCCATTCACAAGATGTTAACTGATGGACTGGAGTAATGTTAATTGTGTATTATTTTGATGTTTTTAGTTGTTTGGACTCTCTGGACTCTTCTGATGGACCCAATCACTGCAGAGGTTCCATTGGTGAGCAAATCATGTAATGCTAAATTTGTTCTGATGAAAAAACAACCTAATCTACACCTTGGAAGGCCTTTGGATGAGTAAATTTTCAGCAAATTTTTATTTTTGGGTGAACTATTTTATTGAGGTGAACAATGTTTGTTGGTCCACTGGCTAATGACAAGCATGGACCAGTTAATGACCTGTTTAGAGCAGCTAAGATACCAGGATACCGTGTTCCAAAATACAAGTTTAAGTGTATTTGGTAGTTTAAATCCATTTCAAGTCCTATCCTAACAGCAAAATGAACAAAATCATATAATCTAACATTGTTTACAACAAGATCATGCCTTTAAGTAGACATTCAATGGAACACACAATGGAACAACCAAATTTCCAAAAGTAATCACTTTTGTAACCACAATGCTACAAGTGCAAACACTCATGAGGAGCGGTCAAATAAGAGTCAGACATCAATCAGAGCAGCATGAATAAGCAATACTATGATCATTCTTTACAAAGCATATCCGTTTGCTATTCTGAGCTGAGAACCAGCAATAAAAATGATCATAAACAAAGAAAACCTTCACCGTACAGCTGGAAATATTTTTTCCCCTTTGACAGCTATGAATATTGGCTCGACTAGCCAGAGATAATACAATGCAAACACAGGAAAGGATCTAATCTGGTGGGCTATTGTCACGCAAATATCATTTTCATAGTGAGCCAGATGTACACGTAAACACAAGGTGCTTTTTCACAGCCCACCTACACAACATAGCCCACCAGCAGGAGGAGGGCAAACTGGTCGCTTACCAAGTACTGCTGGCATAAAAACAGGGTGACCAGTGGAATATTCTAATAATACATAAAGGGTTTTATATAAGGATTAATTCCCACTATGCCTTGGGGATTTGATGCATACAATTAAAATATTACCAAAAAGGGCCTCAGAGACTTGTTAACATGCTTGGACTTCACACCTGCCTACTGAGATCGATGGCAGGCTCAAAACCCTCTAACAATGAACTCACATTTTCCTAGCGATAAGACTGGAACGGGCTGGACATGTAGGGTTTACCCAGTGGCTTTCAATCCTGGTCCTGGGGACCCACTGCTCTGCACATTTTGTATGTCTCTCTTATCTGACACACTCAGTTTAGTTAATGGATCTCGCCTAACGAGCTGATGATCTCAATCAGGTGTGTTTAATAAGAGAGACACACAAAATGTGCAGAGCAGTGAGTCCCCAGGACCAGGATTGAAAACCACTGGGTTTACCTGAGAGAGGGGAAGGAGAAATCAAGTTTGAAGTGGTTAGGGGCTCCCCATCAGGCTGAGAAGCAGTAAGAGCTTTTAGCAGCTGTCGATGAATTCTGATCACTGTACTATGATGAAATATAAATTGAGACAGAGTATTTCGAGGATGTTAATTAGGTAGTGTGCTTGACTAAATAAGGCTGGCCGCACACTAGAGGATTTTAAGGCCAATTATAAGCCCGATTTGCACCCCCGAACGATCGGGGGGTGTGGCCTGATTCGCGGCTTGTTGCAAGCGATTTTTTGTCCAAAAAATCCTTTATTGTGTGGTGTCATTACGATTACTTAACTGCTCCTGATCGAGACGGAGCGTCGCCGAACTCAAATCGTAAATATCAAACATGTTTGATATTTACGACTCTTGATCAGGCTGCTTCTGACGTGATACCCGCGATAGTCAATGAGAGCGAGCAAGCGTCACCTACCGGATGTTGCGTGTTTCTATAGCTGAAACTTGGCAGCCACAAACATGCCATGAAAGCAGAGAACATCACCCATATTCTTTTCTATACTTTGTTTTTCACTGTACAACAGAATGCGCGCCGGGAGAGCCAGCTGACATCGATTGTCCTCTATTTGTTTTTCTTCTCTAGTCACGTTTGATCTCGCGAGTGTCCGTGAGATCTCGTGTCACTGTGAAATCGTTCCTACAATCATCAAGTGTGTGGTCTCGTGGTCTGGTCTAATCATCTAGTGTGCGCATTCAGAGGATTATAAGGCTAAAAATCGGTTGAACTGTCTTCATGTCTGTGGTCTCCCATGTTTTTAAAATCTTTTAAGATTTTAAAATCGTCTAGTGTGCAGCCAGCTTAAGAGAGGTTCAGAATCCAGCAGAGCAGAGAGACCAGTGAGACTGAGCACTGGTGAGCTTGCCGCTTCTAAGATATAAAAAAACTCACTTTTACTCACTAGCATAGGCCTACAGCAATCAGGATAACTGCTAAAAATGTGTATTGTACTCTTGTTTTGACTCCTCTAGTGCAATTGCTGTATTTCTTGGCTGGGTAGGTGATTAAATCAGAAAGTATGCATTAATTAAACATAAAAAGAATCTGGTCAATAACAATATACAACACACAATTTGTGGAACTGACAACACACCTCTTCTGGGAGCGCTAACTAGCCTTTTTGAATGAACTTACACATAATATACTGATTTTTATGAAAATGTTTAAAACTGAAAAGTTTAAAGGAAATAAATACACTGAAAAAAAAAAATAATAATAATTTCACAAATTTAAATGCTGGACCTTTATCTGAACAGTCAAGAATACCAGAACAATTAATATACACTACCGATCAAAAGTTTGGGGTCAGGAAGATTTTTTGATGTTTTTGAAAGAAATCTCTCATGCTCACCAAGATTGCATTTATTTGATCACAAAAACAGTAATATTGTGAAATATTACTACAATTTAAAATAACTGTTTTTTATGTGAATATATTTTACAAATGTACTGTAATTTATGCATTCAGCAAAGGTGAATATTCAGCAGTCTTGACAGTTTTGAACGGTAGCGAATATCAATATAGCTAATTACTGAAAATGATATTCATCAGACCATTTATCTGCTCAGAATCTCTTATTTTAATCCAACCAAAAAATGAGCTCTCTCATCTCAATTGAACATGATAAACGTTTGCTTTGATTCTGAAACAAGTCTCTCATCAGGCATTCCAGTACAGCTTCCATGGCTAACTAGAAACCTTTCACCAACCATATTTAATTACTAGATATAAATGCGAAGCTGACCCAGGTGTTACTTAATAATTCTAGAGGTAAATCAACTGTTTCCCTATCCTTGTTTTTTTTTAAACCCAGCAGAATAGGTGCACATAAGAAAGTTTCAAAGCATTGGCAACAATAACAACAAAAGGGGTCGGTTCAAACAACACAAAGGACATTTTCTTTTTTTAAACAAGCTCTTTCTCATTCCACATTGTAAAGTGACTGAAACACCCACTTAATACCATGTAGCTATGTTTTATATAACCATGATAAAAATAATAGTCAAATGTATAAAAATTTCTACCGGTATATCAATCCAATCAGTATTTTCCGGCCTTTAGTACCAATCGTTTTGCCCACTGACCCCTGATCCCTCAACCTCAGCACCTGCTCATTCTCTGTGAAGACCCGGCGACCAAAGCTCCAGATGATGTTGGGGGTGGGATCACCCGTGGCCTCGCAAGTTAGTGTGATCTGCTCCTCCAATTCAGAGGCCGTCTGGTTTTCTAGGAACGTGATCTTGGGTTGCACTGTTGACACACAAACACAAGAACTCAAAACATGGCCTATAAACACTCCTCAGGGAAAAGAAACAATGATTTTCCTCGATGCAATTACTGAGCCTTTACAATGGTCATAATACCAAAACAGTGCTCTTAAGTTAATGAGATGAGAGTGCCTCACTGGCTGGGTGCATTCAATATTTAATCAACTCATTGTTATAGTTTATATTTCAAAAGAGGAACTTTGTTTAATGGATGAAATGTAGTACTTTGATTCACTTTTATTTGCTTTGGCTCTAATCTAAGCGCTCTGAAGCAGTGCTGGAGAATGTGGCTGGAGAAAACGTATGCATGATGAGAAATACAAATATTGTGATTGCGTTTTGAACTGCGACACGAACATTTAAAATATTCATGCAAACTTAATAACAATAAAGAAGAAAAGCATAGAATCACACTGAAACAGCAGCTCTCAGGATCAACAGTGTGCTTAAAGTATAAACTAAGCAGCAATGGTTTTTGTGTTCATATTAAGTCTCTTAGTTTTCCCATGCTCTTTTCAACAGTGGTAGTTACTCTTTAGGAGTATTCACACTTGTTCTTACACTTGTTCTTATTAAGAGAACAAAACTCAGATCACTTTCAATTGACCAAAAAGTGAACTGAGTAAAAATAATTCAGTTCTCCTTGTATTCACATTATACCCAAAACTAAAAGACTAAAAGATGATAAGGTCATAGCCCATTTACATATTTCATGATATATTTCTTGTAATTTTTTGTTCTCTGGAAAACAATTATATGATACTATATCACACCATATAATAAATAAAAAATAATTATATAAATAATTATTAAAAAGAACAAGAATGAGAAAAAGAAGAAAACATGAAAACACACAGACACATTTTTGTTTTGTTTTAAAATTTTTGTTTATATATAACAATAGCAGTGTTACGGAAGTATACTCAGAACACAGAGATGACTGTAAACAGGATTTTTATTGACAACAACGTTGGATCAGCAGGAAATCAAGTAAGTAAACTGAGCAATGATACTTTAGCTGAGAGGATGATGAATATAATATCAGTCTTTGTCTTATTGGACCAGGAGATCATGGATGGGCAGATGAATGGAGGAAGCACACACACACAAACACTTGCAGGTGGGTGAGAGAAGCACGGAGACGATGGAGGACAAGGACAAGGAGAACACGCTGGAGAATCACAGGAGGTAAGTACAGGATAGACACTGGAGAACTAGCTTGGAGAATACGTAGGAGAGACTGGGAATAAGTCCTTTACGTGTGAATGAGACCGGACACTGGAGTGAGGTGATGTGTGTGCTTTTGAATCCATCGTGATGAGTGTGCAGATGAGTGGCAGGGGCGTGTGATTAGTACTCTGGTGAGGGAGTGCGCTGGGATTGGCTGGTTTGGAGACCTGGCTTATCTGTGGCAGTACCCCCCCCCCTCCACGGCCTGCTCCTGAGGGCTGGGGACCCCGACGTCGTGGTGGTGGACCTCTTCCTCGGGGAGCAGGGCAATCTGGATGAGAGGTATGGAAGGTGTCTAGCAGTGTAGGATTAAGGATATCATTTCTGGGCGCTCAGGACCATTCTTCTGGACTCTAGCCTTCCCAATTCACCAGGTATTCTAGGAGACCACCACGGCGCCGAGAGTCCAAGACCACATTGACATTGTAAGCCGTGCCGTCCTCCAGGATTAACGGAAGGGGGGGTTCCACTGCAGGGCCAGGTTCTGTGGAGACAGAAATGGGAGAATGGTGAGGTTTGAGAAGGGATACATGGAAGGTGGAGTAAATTCTGTAGTGAGGAGGCAGTTGGAGTTGGTAAGTGACTGGATTGATTTGCTTGGTGATGGTGAAGGGACCAGTGTATCTGGGACTAAGCTTCTTGCAGGGCAAGCGCATCCTGATGTCCCTGGTTGACAGCCAAACCTTCTGACCCGGTTGGTAGGATGGAGCTGTGGAACTTCTCAGGTCGGCTGTCATCCTGCGTGAGCGCAAAGCCCTCTGAAGCTGGTGGTGAGCTGCGTCCCAGACCCTCTCGCTCTCTCGGAACCAGTGGTCGACAGATGGAACATCAGATGGCTCTCCAGACCACGGGAAGAGAGGGGGCTGGTAACCGAGTACGCACTGGAAGGGAGTGAGTCCAGTGGTGGGCTGACGAAGGGAGTTCTGCGCGTACTCGGCCCAGCCCAGGAACTGGTTCCAAGAGTTCTGGTGGCCATGGCAGAAGGTTCGTAGGAAGCGACCTAGCTCTTGGATCTTTCTCTCCGTCTGCCCGTTCGACTTGGAATGGTAACCACAGGAGAGACTGACGGTCACACCTAGGAGGGCGAAGAAGGCTTTCCATACTTTTGAGATGAACTGGGGTCCGCGGTCTGACACAATGTCTTCTGGAATTCCGTAGTATCGGAAAATGTGGTTAAACATGAGTTCTGCTGTTTCTATGGCCGTGGGAAGTCATTTGAGGGGGAGAAGACGACAGGATTTGGAGAATCGGTCAATAATCACCAGGATACATGTGTTACCATTGGAGGGAGGAAGATCTGAGATGAAATCCACTCCTAAGTGTGACCAAGGTCGGTTGGGAATGGGCAACGGGTGGAGTTTGCCTGATGGTAGATGGCGAGGGCTCTTCGAGATGGCGCAGTCTGGACATCCCTGTACGAATCTTCTCACATTCTTGACCATGCTGGGCCACCAGAAGCGATCTCTTCGCAACGAGAGGGTACCATTGGCCCCTGGGTGGCCAGTGCCCAGAGATGAGTGCACAGAGTGAATGAGGGGAGTGCGTTGTGCTCTGGTGACATATTGCAAACCTGGTGGGCAGCCCGGCGGAGCGGTGGTGGAGGCATTGGAGGAGGGAACAGAACTCGAGGACCATTGGATGGGACTCACAACAATCTCTTTAGGTAGGATAGGCTTGGGATCTTCACAGACGTCATCTGGAGTATATAAGTGGGATAGGGCATCAGCTTTGACATTCTTCGGACCTGGACGATAGGAAATGGAGAAATTGAAACGGGTGAAAAATAATGCCCAGGGAGCTTGGCGTGGATTGAGTCTTTTGGCCTCTCGTAGATACTCTAGGTTTTTGTGGTCAGTGAGGACAGTAAATAGATGTTTGGCACCCTCCAGCCAATGCCTCCACTCCTCAAGAGCCAGCTTGATAGCGAGGAGTTCCCTGTTGCCAATATCATAATTCTTCTCCGCCAGGCTGAGTTCGCAGGAGAAGAAGGCACATGGATGGAGTCTGGCTGGAGTCCCCTGCTGCTGAGACAACACCGCTCCTACTCAGTGGTGGATGCATCTACCTCGACGGTGAATGGTTTATTGGGGTCAGGATGGACGAGGAGCGGTGCGCTGGTGAATGCCTCTTTGAGTTGGTTGAAAGCTTCTGTGGCAGATGGTGACCAGGGCAGAGGATTTGGGCTTGTTTTTCAGGAGACAGGTGAGAGGGCAGGCGATGGAGCTGTAATTATGGATAAATCTCCTGTAGAAATTTGAAAAGCCGAGAAAATGTTGGCGCTCTTTGATGGTTGTGGGGACTGACCAGTTCTTGATGGCTGCTACCTTCCCCTCGTCCATCTGGATGCCACTGTTGTTGAAGTTATATCCAAGGAACTGCTCTGAGGATTGGTGGAAAGAGAACTTCTCGGCTTTGAGGAACAGATGGTATTTCTCTCAGGCATTTCAGGACCTCCGCAACGTGGTGGTGATGTTCGGCCATACTCCGGGATTAGACAAGGATATCATCTATGTAGACGAGCACAAACTTGTGGAGGAACTCCCGGAGAACCTCGTGCATGAAATCCTGGAATACGGAGGGGGCATTGACCAGGCCATACAGCATAACGCAGTACTCATGTTGTAGTCAGAATTTCCTTTGGTGTCCAGTCTTCTGTTACGGAAGTATACTCAGAACACAGAGATGATGGTAAACAGGATGTTTAATGACAACAAAGTTGGATCAGCAGGAAATCAGGTGAGTAAACTGAGCAATGATACTTTAGCTGAGAGGATGATGGATATAATATCAGTCTTTGTCTTACTGGACTAGGAGATCGTGGATGGGCAGATGAATGGAGGAAGCACACACACACAATCACTTGCAGGTGGGTGAGAGAAGCATGGAGACGATGGAGGACAAGGACGAGGAGAACACGCTGGAGAATCACAGGAGGTAAGTACAGGATCGACACTGGAGAACTAGCTTGGAGAATACGTAGGAGAGACTGGGAATAAGTCCTTTACGTGTAAATGAGACCGGACACTGGAGTGAGGTGATGTGTGTGCTTTTGAAGCCAGCGTGATGAGTGTGCAGATGAGTGGCAGGTGCGTGTGATTAGTACTCTGGTGAGGGAGTGCGCTGGGATTGGCTGGTGTGGAGACCTGGCTGATCTGTGACAAGCAGTAGTATTAATATTTTGAATATTTGGATGTTATATGTGTTGTATGTTACTATATGATTAATCATATAATAATAATAATAATAATAATAATAATTATTATTATTATTACTATTTTACTATACAACATATATAACAAATATCTAATTTTTCATATTTCATATATTTCATTTTCACAAAATATAGTCTTTATTTTGACTCAATGAAACATTGTAATTTTCTCAGAATATACATTTAATATTAGAATCATTTTTCAATGATTTCGAAATGATTAGTTCAAAGCAGTTCTGAGCTTAAGGTCTGTAATCTCCTCCCTTCCATAATCCTACTCTGCTCTGATAGGTCAGCTGGAAAAGTCTGTTGTGATTGGTCTTTCCATATACAATGCGTGTCGGAAACGAAACGCCAATTACCATAATTACTTTTTTGCTTTGGAGGGTTACTTGTAAACAAAGATGCTATAAGGTTACAAAAATGGCATCGATATTACCTTATCAATTCGAACCGAGGATAATACTAATATTGATGAGTCCAAGGATAATACAGATGCAGTCGCTCAACCGGAAATTCCATCACAAGCACGACTTGATCAGGACGTTTCTCAGTGGTAAGTTTAAACTTTGTATGTGGTACTTTACGTGATGTGACAGCAGTTTTATAGCATTCATTATTATTATTTACTTATTTGAGGTGCAGGTGTGGGAACTGTTTGAATGCCCAGTGAGGCTGAAAACACAGGGTCTTCTCGACCTGATATAAACACACTAACTAGTGGACGTTTTTGTGGGCAGGTCAGAGTGTTCGTATTTCACGGGCGGGGATTATGCAGATGTGTTACCTTGTGACGTATATAGGTAACAGGCAGAAAATTCAAAAAATATGACGACTCGTTAATGCGGTTCAGAGTCAACTCTTTCTTTTGAGAGACGATATCTTTATTTATCATGCACTTTTTTGATTAACAACTTTGCAGACTGTTTACATTGAAGGATAGCTACATTACAAACGGCAAAAAATATATTTTTTTGAAAACCCATATGACCTGCTCTTTAAATTTGATTAGAATAGTAACTTGTAGAGTGAGCCGCTCTGCGATACTGAAAACACTACACTATGGGCCTTTTGCATGCAGAGTGTAGCAGATGACATAACAGATGACATTATATTCATTTAATAATATTGCAACATTTCACGGCTTAATAATCGCACAAGGCAATAACACGATTTTGATTTTAAATTGACAAATTGTGTGGTCCTAATGGAGAGAACATTTTCCTGGTAACTCATATGTAAACACTTGTTTTCAGTTCAGCTCCAATGGTAATGACAGAATTCTTTAGCTTACCAAACACATTGAGTGAGACTTCCTCGCTCCTCTCTCCAGCCTTGTTTCTAGCGATGCACTGGTAATCTCCTTCATCAAGCTTAGTGACGTCTTTGATGGTCAACTCCGACCCATCTTCATTCAAACTGTACTTTCCATCTGATTCCAGCACGATATTACCTCTGTGAGGCAGAGAGAGAGAGTGAGAGAAAGAACGAAAGAAAGGATAGGTTTACTGTTTGGCCTTCAAGCTGTTACTTGCTCAGCAAAGTCATGAATACATGATGCCTCATCTTCACATACTGTACACCAGGAAATACAGAGAGAAAGTGTGCCTGCCCATGAAATGGATTCTTCATCCTGCAGTGCACAGCTTCTCATGATGCCGATAGTGTAGGAAGAAGCTGGAGAAAAATAAAAGCGGATCTGCTTTGTCATCTTCGGTTTCTTGACACGTTCCTGTCTCGAAGCCAATAAAAAGGTTTAAATAATGTCTGATGGCCAGAAACATCAAGCTGATGGGCTTTTTTATTTGGAAGAATGCTGTGAGCTGTTTCCCTGTGACACTAAATCAGTCATGCAAAGTTTGGATCCGAATATCTGCTCTTTTTGCTTGTAACAGCAGCAATTGAGCGACATTTTCAAATGGCACCCGAGTGACAGCACTGTCAGTGAAGGAGGGAAATAAATGAGGTTGTGGCGAGCGCTCTTATCCCTCCTTCTCCCGAGGCAACAGTCAGACATGATGCGATCTCGTCCTCTCATTCACGTGCCAGTCACGACTTGGTTAAAGAAGTCACTGGAGTTCTGAGGTAAAGCCATGCTGAAAGCCACCAGCTGCTTTAGCTGCCACGGCTAACGGCAGCTGAAAGGATAAAACGGTGCCTCTGTCATTCACAGCACTTTTAGTTTACAAGCTCCAATAACTCTGATCCCTCTCCCTCCCTGGATTCGGGGAAAAGCTTAGCATTCCCTACAGAGATTTGGCAGAACTCTTTTGGCGCTGTTTTGGCACAAACAGATAAAGGGCCGCTAAAAAAGAAAGGGTGATGAATGACACGTACCGTGCCCACGTGACGGTGGGTTCTGGGTAGCCATCTGCGTAACAGGCCAACATCATGGCCTGGTTGATGTCTGCAGTGCCATTAAGCTCAGTGTAGCGCGTCCTGATACTTGGCAGAACTGGGAGAAGAAGAGAAAGGCGAAAATAACATTCTGGTAAATACTGATTCTTTAAAGAGACAGACGACCCAAAAATGACAATACGACTTGTTCTGATTTCGTTCCAAATCTCTATGCTGTAATTTTAATCTGTGGAACTCATTTCCATTTAATGACAGTTCATAGTAACCATGTGCTCCATAAAAGAAACAGATAAAACATTATAAAAGTAGTTTTCTGAAGCCAGTCATCACTGAATAATATTGCAAAAGTTTAGTCTGTTCCTCACATAAAGTTATCGGATGGCTTCAGAACTTCTGTATTACGGGGAAAAAACACTTCAAACATTTATGAAACATTCTTCTTTTATGTTCCCTAGACAAAATAACAGCATATGGGTTTGGAAAGACTTTAATAAATACAGAATTTTCTTTTTGGGAGGAAATATTCTATTACATACTGTAGCTAAAATACAAAGCCAACACACTGCAAAAAATAAATAAAAATAAACCCTCTTTTTTTAGCATTTATGTATTGTTTTGGAGTATCTCTAAAATGTTCTAATAATAAAATATCTGATTTACTTTAGCAAAATAAGATTGTTCTAGGAAATAAGGTAAAAGTCTCACAAAATCTTTGATTTACGTTTAAAAGTTGTATTCAAAAAGGTCACCCAATGAATACAAGTCTAATAATGAATTATTATGTTTTATGAATTATTAATATTTATTAAAATTAATGAATTAATAACATGCAATTTAGCATCTCAAGCAAATGTATCTTGTTTTTACTAGAAAAAAAGTCAGACTTTAATTCTTTAGAGAAACACTGGTGTAAATGTGTATAAAGATGTGTATAAAACATGTGAGGTAACAAAGCAGGTGGCTCTGAGATTGAGTCCTCACCATTGACAATGACCTTGATGACCCTGAGGTCGATTTCTCCCCGGGCCATGATACGGCCCTCGCAGGTGTAGTCACCCTCATCTGTCTTTTTGATGCCGCGGATCTGGAGGTGGTTGTTGCTTAAGACCTTGAAACGGACTGTAGGTGTGAGACAGAAACAGAGAGAGGAAAAAACAACAACAAAAGGAAGCAAAATGAGAGAGTAATTACTCTTGAGTAAGATAGGAGACCGTGTTAACGAGCCTCTCATTACATGCTGGGCAGCAAAATGACTCGCTGCACATCTTCTCCCAGTATAAAATCATCTTTATGGGCTTTTCTGCAGTGCGATCTGTATTCAAGACCCACAGTAAAGGTGCATATAATATTTTAACTCCGTGGAGACACACTAAAACAGTACTGATATATTAAAAATGATGAAAAAGTCAAATTCAGCAAGATAAAGCACATCTTTCCGGCTGTGTTGGTAAAGCAATATTTGCTTACTACTTAGTGCACACTACACAGTATACACTGGATACCTCCTAATTTTTTTTAAAAATAGAACCCTGCAGCAATAATAAGAGTAGTATGTAACAATGACAGAGTGTTTTGTGTTGTGCTTCATCCGAACTGCTCAGTCAAACAAAAAAAGAGCACAGAAGAGGTTAACGAGAAAAATGTGGAAAATGTGTTATTTACATAGAGCAGTTTGGTTTTCAAGCTCTGCTACAATTAGTGGTTTCGCAGTGAAAATTTCATCTAGCAGTGGCCTGTGAGTTCATGTCTCACAGCAGAGAGCTGCGGTCACTGTTTCTTCCAGCAGTCTCTGAGGGAGGAGCCCTCCGAGGTTAAAATAGTTTCATCCAAATGAGGCTTGAACTGACAAACAAAACAATGCAGATGAAAAAAGCATGAAACTTTAAGTTCTCACAATAAAAATGCAGGTGCTTACTGTCGCTGTTTTCATTGTCACAGCGCTAGAGAGCTCACTAACTGGAAGAGGGGATGATTTTGACAGGAAAAGTATGGGAGATATTTAAAAATGAGAGAAGTGAAGATGCGTAAAACAGAAATATGAGTGTGACATAAGGGAATGAAAGAAAATGACTGAAAGAGATCTGCTCGTGGTACTGTACCATCAGTCTCAGGCTGGATTCTGGTCTTTTTATACTTCCAGATGATAGTTGGGGGCGGCGAGCTGATGACATCACAGATGATGTCAGCGTCATCGCCTTCCTTGAACTCTTGAGGTGATGGAGCGTTTTGGAAAGTGAGTTTCTCTGAAAAAGACATTTGAAATGCTCTTCAGTTGTACCACTACTGCAAAAATCCTTTTCTTAATCTGCATTTTTGTCTTGTATTTCAGTAAAAGCTTGAGAAGCAATGTTGCATTAGATATTAAGGAATATTTTGAGAAAGAAAATATGTAAACGTACTTAATATATTTCTGAGAAAGATTAAAGTTTTTTTCCCATTGGGTAAACAGTTTATTTCTGGTTTGAAAAATAAACTTCAAGATGATAAATGATCTGAAATATATTATTTTAGTAAGTATCCTTGAAAGAAGTGGCATGCTGATCAGCTGTTGTTTTTTTTTAATGACATCAATAATGAAATAAAAACAATTACATAATATTTCATAGAACAATTTATATTTATGAATAAATGTTAAATGTTATTTTATTAAATACATTGATTTTAATTATTGCATTTTTAACAATTAATCATATATATTTAATAAAAATAAAAATAAAAATATATATATTTACAATTTATTACAAGAAGTATATTAGATAAGTTGTCAGAACCGCATAATTAAGTACAAAAACACAGCGGTTATGGCAGGATTCCACTTCTCCACTTTAATGAAGCATCAAAAAATTTTGGGTGATGATTTCAAGAAATATAAAATATATCAAATGTATTCCATTAGCAACTGTTTTCATGCCATATGCATGGTTGATGTTTAAAACTGACGTGTATCAACCTTATGCTTTCATTATTAGTGTACTGTTTTGTTATTACATGTTGTGGTAAATGTCAGATGATTTATTGTGCTTGGGGTTTACTGTTGGGTCCAATACAATTTGATTCCTCATTTCTCATGATTTCTAAATAAGCCCTTGAAAGGAAAATATTTTACTTACGGAAAATGTTTACGATGACAGTGCCCTGAGATTCCTTGTCCCCACTTTTCGCCACGCACTTGTACATGCCCGCATGGTCGACGTTGGCATTATAGATTGTGAGTGTCGACGAGGATTCATCATTCTTGCTGACACTGATGTCTGATCTGCCTGGCAGGAGCTTCTCCCCATTGGGTGCAAACCAGTCTATTTCCTTAGCATCTCCAACAACTGACAGACAGACCGACAGACAGACAGATAGAGTGAAAACATTGTGACAGACCGTCAGCTCATCAGCTATTTAAAGGTAGGGTAGGCGATTTCGGAGAGGCTAGCAATAGCAAGCTAGCTTTGAAAGCATAAGGAGGTAGGACAGCCTATCGCAGCCCTCGGACCGAGGGATATGATTGGACGAACATTTATGGTCCTACACCTTCCACAGACGATATAAATACATATAAATACATTTAGACCACTTAACTTAGTGATTTCTATCAGGATGTGAAGAGACTTTCAACCAGCATAACAAAATT